ACAACCAAGTCAATCAATTAAATACAGATTGATTTAACCCCCTCCCTCCTCCCTTCATTAATCCAACTTCATAAAAATCCTAAAGTTCAATTTTTAAAAAATAAAATGAAAATTTTTATCCCTTGAAATTCCATTACATTACAGGAGATCGAATCCCAAGTTAGACAGCCAAAAATATAATTGGACGAAGGAAAAGTTTACATTTTCAGTTACATAATAGCATAGCCAATCAAAATAAATGGGATAGTTCATATTTTTTCTCTCTCTTATTTTCCAGCATTTTCTTAGAAACAAGCACAAGGATCAAATTTCCTAGATTCGCTGAAGAGAAAAATAACGAGGAAAAAAAAAGCAACAAAGTCAATGTGCATTTGTTAACTAATCACATCAAAGCCAGAAAAAGTCAAGAAAAAAATTAGAACCCATTAATCTCCATCAATCAACCAACCCAGTCGATCAAGAAAGCAAAACTACGGGGGAAAAAAAAAATGCAAAATACCATCAGAAAAATCAGTGATGCATTGAACTAGAGGCAGAGCAAAGATCGAAGCGAGCAAAACCAATTCATTCAGTAGGAAACACGATGGAAATCGAGAAAAAGCTCTGTTCTTGTACACCATTGCAGTATCTTTTTCTTGTTCTGGTGGTCGGAGGAGTGTTTTAAAGGTTATCAGGCGAGTTGCAGAACATGAGAGAGCAGCACGGAGACGCGGCGGACGGATGAGAAGAGGAGGAGGAAGAGTTGTTGGGAGCCTCGGTGGCTGGAGGCATCCCCATTAAAGGAGGAGAGAGGGATTCGAAGCTGAGGAGAGAGCAGTAATGGAGAAAGAGAGTGTCGGATAAAACATAGAAAAGAGTAAAAAAAATGAAGGAAACGATAAAATCAGGGGAAAGGCTGGGTGGGAGTAGGTACGCTACGGATGAATCACCCTCCATAGTCAGCTCAGATGGACCCTTTCCCTCTTAGAAAAAGATCGTACTTTTATGAGTTCATTCATTTAGTTCCTCTAAAATTTTTTTTTTGTTGGAAAATTCCTCATAATTTGTGGTAAAAAAAAAAAAAAAACGGCAATGAGTGTTTTTTGGTTGGACACCGATTGGTATATACTATAATTTAGTATATTATACAACAAATATATTAAAAAAATCACTATTGAAATTAAAAATAAACAATTTTAAAAATATAACTAAACTTAAATATGTAACCATGTATATAGAATGCAGTAACTAATTGAATCAATTGTATTTATATTATATTTTAATAGATTTATTCAGACAAATATTAGAAAATGTGTTAAACCAAATGTACAATTTATTTTCCTTTTTGGTTTGTGGAGTCTAAAGAACTATAGATTTGTAGTTAAGAGTGCACAAATCTCAATTATCAAACCACCTAATTGATGGTAAAAATAGCATGACGTTAACTGAAAGATTCATGATGTATATACATTACCCCATAAACTCCATCATCTCTACTCCCATTCTAGATAGCAAAGTTCTCATAGTCAAGTTCAAATCTTGCACTCTTTAACGCACCCTTAGAGAAGGCAAATTATATGACAAGAACGGATCATTAGGAGAACCATTGTTGTCAATGCAACTCTTTGTTGTCTAACAACCATTCTTTTGGCAAATGCTATGGAAAAGGATTTATGTTATACTCTCTACTATTTGTGTAACAAAAAAGGAAAAAAAAAAAAAAAGAAGTTAAACAAAAAGAATTAAATGAGGCATGTACATAGATGTTACCCTTCCTTAAATGGTTAAAGCCTATTTTTTTAGTAAATGATTTGAGCTTTGTCCATGGTGTTTAAACTTAAAATTTATTAGGTTGACTTAAATATTTAAACGTAAATTGACTTCTTAATGCTCTTAAATGGTGCCTCAATTGGGTCTCTAATGAATCATCAAACAATTTTCAAATTTCTCTAACAATTTTTAGTATGCTTA